GGCTCCAATCGAGTGAGACTTCGGGCCTCGGGTCTGGGTCAGCAGCTATTTGGGTCTTGTACTGAATTGGGTTTGTTGGATGCAGGGCATTTGGGTGGGTTCGTTGACTGTGCCTGGGCTGCGATGGGTCATCCAGGTCGTAATCTGGTTTGGGCTTCAAAGCCTGCAAAAAAATGTAAAAAGTAAATTAAATTAAAATAATAATAATAATAATATAATATTTTTGTAGACCCGGACAAAAACGGCTGTCTACAACAGTTACCGGTTTAAACGAACTCGAATAAAGTCGAGAACCTAATGGAGACGGCATTGGTGGCTTTAGAACAAAGGAACGACATTCTATCATTTTAACTACTTTGGTCATTCATGGTTTAAACGCATATCTTCCTGTATGCACCATAATGCAACTTTGATGGCAGTGTAAACACTCTCATCTTCACCTTCTATACTACTCAACCTCGAATCGAGAATATCACGAAGCTTCCCTTCCTCCAACATCTTGAACAAATATGATGGCAAGTAAGATCTCTCTGAGGATTCCGCGAGGTCGAAGTTTTTCCTTCCCCCAATGATCTCCAGCAGCAGCATGCCGTAGCTATAAACATCACTCGTTTCTGATATCGTTTAGTTTGTGATCCACTCGGGTGCGAGGTACCCCCTCGTACCCCTTAGTGTAGTGAAAACATGGCTTTGCTCTTAAGTCATTAGCTTTGCCAAGCCGAAATCGGATGGCAAGGAAATTGTCATCCAGTAATATGTTCTCGGGCTTTATGTCGCAATCTTCGCATCGCAATCTTCGTGGAGATAAGCTAACCCTTTAGCTGTTCCCACTGCGATGTTGATCCTTGTTCCCCAATCCAGCAACGGTTCTTCTCCGTTTCTCCCGAAGATCCATTTATCTAAGGAACCGTTCGACATGTACTCATAAACAAGAAGCCGATCACTTCCTTCCACGCTGAAGCCTTTCAGCCGAACCAGGTGGAGATGATGGATGCTTCCAATAATACCTACTTCAGCTCGAAATTCTTTTGTCCCCTGACCGATGCCTTCCAATTTCTTCACAGTAAGTTGAGTTCCATCTGGAAGAGTTCCTCGGTACACGGAACCGAATCCTCCCTGTCCAAGCTTAATCGAGAAGTTATTTGAAGCGATACGAAGGTCGTTTTAAGTGAACCGAGTAGGCATCCCGATGAACTTTCCAAGAAAGTATCCTCTTCTGAAGTCTCACCAGGGATTCCAGCATTGTTTTCTTTCTCTTGTAGTATCTCAATGACACAAAAAGTAGGCAAAAAATGCAAAGTACTGCAGGAACCACTATAATCACAACATATGGGAAGTCTCTTTTCCCTCTTTTAGAACATCTTAACAAAAGCAACCAAATTGGACTTGCTTTTAGAGCTTTGGAAGCTACCAACGTCTTCAAAAATGAAACAATTCCTCGAGTTATTGTCGTACAACATAGCCACACAGTGGCAATTACTAAGACAAGATGCTTTGCAGCCATTAAGATCGGTTTTCAACCAAGGAGAAACATAGCCAAGCGCGAAGTAATCGAGCCGGTTCCAGCATCTACAAGACCTACGGCGTCCTTTCCATTACCACAACTTGAGGCAACGCCAGTTTTGCAAGCGCTCGAACTAAGCTCCAATGGACACCGGCATTTAGTGTTTCCTGCTAAAGAACCTGAGCAAACAAAATTCGGCATACAAGCTTCGGGTGTTCCGCACGGATCACCAGGAACTTTTCCTGTCGAAGAAGACTCTCCAGAATTTAGATTGAAAAAATATGTAAACCCATCACTTCCCAACACCGCAACCCAAGAGGTACTCACATTTACATCAATAGAATCTGATATCTTAAACTCCCATAGCAACACTTTTCATCAAAGAACTTCCATGAGTTCATCAATGGAAGCTATAGTCACTACCCCACCATTTTTGTCAATGTTCCTTCGAGCATCCTTTCCCATCGACCAATACGGTTGCTGATTCGAGTAACCTGCGGAAAGAACCATGTCACCTTGCTGGATTTCAAGGATGTAAGTCAAGTTACTAGGACTACGATTACTTATAAGCCTCATCCCTTGTTTAAACTCTTGGTTCGAAACAAGAGTATCCGAAGGATGAGCAAAGCTCTCCCAAATGACTTCGCCATCGTTCCTTTGCAAGACCAAATTCCCTGAATCCATCAATACCATAGCAGAAACACCTTGCTCACCGGTATTTTCCGTCCAGACAACAGTTTTTCCTTTCTGTAACAACACGTCGCCATTGTTTTGAAATACAAACATGTCTGAATTTGAAACGGGGAAGTCTTTGTTTGCTGCCCGAATTACCTTAGTAGTCGTAATATGCACGTTGAAAAGTAAAAACCGTGTGACATCTGAGGTAGTGGCAAAGCCAAAACCAAACTCAGAGCTGTTTGACACGAGGAACAAACCATTACTGTCGATCCAATTCATCTGAGAAACTTGAAAACCCGTTTCAATAGACCCAGTGAACCGATCGTTAGCCATAGAGATATCAAAGAAAACAAGGGTAAGTGCAAAATAGAGAAGGAAATCGATACAACCCTTGCTTTCCATTAGAATATTCAGTATCGAGCCCAAACCAAACCAAAGAATATTTATGGAAACAAAATATGGGTTTCCTAAGCAAATACTGTGCCTTGGAACACAAAAATTTGGCTCTAAAGGAAGCAGATTACAAGGCTATATTGAGCTAATTAGTCCATAAATTCAACAATTTTGGAATGGAAAACAAGTTATTGAAGGGAGCTAAGAGCTTCAATTCAAGGAAAAGTTGCCTGTAAAATGATCAAAAGAAACGGGACAAGATCAGATAACGCAAGAGTAAACTGACAACAGAAGGGCAGTTCTTATTTGACCATGAAATCAGTGAAGAAACACGGGAAAGAAGTGGGAAAAAGATGCAAATTTTGAGAAGTGTTGGTAAAGTAACATGAGCAATAAATTATGAAGAATATGGTTTTAAAGGATAACAGTGTGATGAACCATACGACAGACTGGAGGGATTTGCTTTGACCTCATTTATTGCAGAAACAATTGGATTTGCAGATCTTCTTCTGAGCTGCCTTTCCATCTTTTTCCTTGGTGTTTTGGTATTCTTCCAATATGACCAACAGTGGTCAACTTTTACGTTTGGTTTACAAATCCAATGATTCAATACCAGGAACCTTTCCACTCTGTTTGAAAACTAAAATAATTTGCTCTTAAACAGAGCCGAAACACTATATTTTTAATATTAAATACATTCTCAGTCACAACATGAATATTTTTAATAAGAATTATATTAAATTTTACTAAAAAAATTTAATATTAATCTTCATTCGATTCATTAAGAATTAAATTTAAAATTTTTAATTATTATATTAATATAATGCCATGATTAAAAATAATACATATCAGTTACTGTTCAGTAGTCTTGTATATTAGTAGTAGTAGTAGCAGCAGCTTTTAGTCAAATTATTATTATATTATCAGTGGATTCATATTTTCAAGGATTGAAAGGGGACCGGTATGGGCCAGGAAGAAGGCCAATTGGGCAATAATTTAATGTAAAATTGGGAACAAAATTATAGGAAGGCCACTCGTTGTCGCAACAGTCAATGCCATTTGAATTAGTCCCGCAACGGATGGATCAAATTCAGCAATTTGGATTACATTTCTTCGTATAAATTTGGGATGAAGATAAAGTAATATTCATTTAAAAACTTATATTCGTAATACTCAAACTCAAAACTTACTTAGTGCAAATTTATGTCTCATTCACTTTATTCCTTTTCTTTCCAAATTCTATCTGCTTTCTCGTGAAAGTCATGCTATTTCATTCATGATTCAGGCCAACATTATTATCATTATTTTTAACATCTTCTCCGAGTATTTAAGATATCAATAAACTCATCTCATTGTCTCTTATCACTCTATCAATTTAGATTTCATCTTTAAAACTCATTTAACTCGACACCAAATTCAAAATTCATAAACCATAAACTACTTTAATCTATAATATCCACTATTTAACATAAAATCAAGATATACAAGTCACCTCGCTTCCCCTCGGTTGAAATTTGAAAGAAAATACTTCATCATCGAGAAGAAATTTAAAACTAATTTTTTCACAATAAATTAAGTAAAAGATTGAGGCCGTTTCATTATTTTTAAAAGAAAAATCTTTAATTATAACACGGGTAAATAAAAAAATTGAGTGAGTAAATTAAACATTAGTGACCAAATTAGGAGTGAGAAGAAAGTTAGAAGTGAAATGTATAATTTACCCATTCAAAAAATAAACTGTCCCTTTTACCTTCCATCTTTGATGAAAAGCAAATGGTGGGGAAATTTTCCATAAAAGCCCAAACCCCCTTCCCTTCTTTGTTGCCTTAGGTGGGGAGCCCCCCCTTATCCGTATTAAAACTTCAAAAGATACTGTGAGGTGAGGTACCAAATTCACATAGTGGAGCAAATATCACTCAATCATTCTAGTGTGATGCCAACAACCTCCATCTATACCATTGAAAAGTCTCTCCTTTGAGCTTTTCTAAACACAATATTACATAATCTTAAATATTCTCCCACCACAATCAATGTTACAACTTTGAAATCCTTTAACCAAGGATCCGGATTCGAGTCTCGTGGGTGGAAAAATAACTCGCCTCGCCTTGAATTCAGATATAATCAAAATCAAAATCGCAGTTCAAAAAAATTACAAACAAAGATAAGCTCCCCCAACCCCACTACCACATAAGACACTCGAGCACATTTTGACTCTGCGATTTCTGTAAAGAGACCTTCGTCCCCTACTCGTACAAACAAATACATTTTTTTTCTTCAGATTTTTTTCATTTAATAATATTAGCTTTAGCCCTACTTCTTAATCCAAATCCAACCAACCAACCAGACAGGTTGCCCCCAGTGGTGAGAGATAATTGTCCCTTAATGAGATTATATCTTGTAAAGGATAACAAACCACTTTCCCCACACGGATAATATATTAACATAAAGTTAAAAGTCTAAGTGTCACAACTCACAACTACAACTAAGGAAACAATTAGCCTATGGCTAAGTTATCTAAATAACAGTTCCAAATAGCCTATGCTTTTCCACTTTGCAGTTTTCGAGTGTCGGCCGACATGGGATGACTCAGTTGGTTGAATCATTAGAGGTCTTCCAGGCACCAAGGTCCAACTTTCACCAACAGCCAGCATGCAGGTCAAAAGGATTAGCTCATCTAATTGAAACTTCACTCAAATATTTACACCTTACATTCTTGCAAACATTTCAACACACTGATCATCAACACAAAACAATTAGCTACGAAAAAGATGGCGAAAAGGGAAGAGAGTTTTCTTTCAGCAGCACAAATACTCACCTAGACCACGTTAAGGGTCTTCAAGTGTAGGACTGTATGGAAGCATCGATGGCAAATGAAATTGTTGATCAGCTGCCGGACCATATATCGTCTTTCGCTTTCTCGTTGATGCATCTTCATTCGAGCGTTCACCTTCAGTGCTCCGTTTGTTTGAAGATGAGTTCAAGGGATCATCTCCTTTGCTCCTAAGAAAGGAAGAGAAACTTTTGTTACTGAACTTGTTTGTCTCCGGAAAGGTGGAACCGTTTTTTCTTATTTCCAGAGGTTGACCATTTCGAACACTAAAGCAAGGTGTTGAAAGAGGGCCCAATCGCAACGATAGATCACAGGCAAATTCATGTGGGTTATTGGAAGCATTTGCTAAATCTGTTTGGTTCATCTTATTCAAAGAGTCCGCATCAGAAAACAGTTGGTTTTGAATGTAACCAGTCTTAGCAGGTGCTACTGTATTAGAAATTAGCTTCGGGAAGACTCCGAGAGCATGCTGCGGCTCCTCAAATCTACGGTGGTTTCCGTAAAATAGAGGAAAAACCGAATATAAATTAGGAGGATACTTCTCTATAGGTAAGCATGGGTTGTTTCTAGGAAGGGAACCATTCTCAGATGAAAAAAGGAACTTGTTATGGGCGCCGTTAAAAAGAGTCACATTCATTGTTGTCGGTTTCATGAAGCCGGAATAACCAGCCATGCAATGTGAGTTCACTGTGACATTTCCTCGAGCAACGTTGTCGACTTCCCGAGTTTCCGGCTCAAGGTAACACCTCAGGTTACTATTTCGTTGGCTCCTCGAGGTTCTTCTCGGTGTGCAGCCCAAATGCAGAGCAGCTAACCAACAACAAAGTAGAATCGGGCAACACATTCATCATAATTAAGCCATAATCAAGCCACAAAAGAACCCCAATTCGAAAACATACACATTTGGCTTCAAATTAAAGCAGAGGAAACCATCATGCAAAGCAAAACCAGTACCTTCAATACAAGGTTGAAGAAGCTCTCCAGTTTCAGTACTCTCATCACGCCTAATGATTGTGTTAATGGCATCACTTGCTCGATCCCGCAGAGTCTTAAGGTCCATGTACTCAACCTATGCAAATATTCGAACGCCATTAAAACACAGTGTGAGCCCAAGGCTCGTTCTTTTTCATTTTAAAACTAAACACAAGAAAAAAGAAAGAGAACATTTTTACCTCGGAATTAGCTTTGGAATACATTATTTCTTCAGCTTTTAAAACAACAACAGGGAGCTTCTCTTGCCATTCCTTGTTCTTCTTAGTTGCAGAGCTATGAATCTCTTTTACAACTCTAGACAAAACAAACCAACTACATTATAAAAAAGGACAACTTTAAACACATAAAAGAAATGAAGAACAAACCTGAAAATTTCTTGAATGAGGGAACCACGCATGGGTTGGTGCCTATCACTATGCCAAGCTCTTCTCTCACAAACATAAGGTCTTGGACCTGGTCTAGGCATCTTCAATGGCGGTTCTTGATAGAAGAATAAGAGAGCCAAAAGGGTTTTTTTTTTTTTTTTTGAGTGCTCCTTCAAAGTGAAACAATGGCAGGAGCTGTGTAGAGAAAGTTGTCTGTAGCTTAACGCTCTCTGGGGTTCTCTTTATTCATGAAAACTAAGGCACTGATGTAAGGGCGTAAACGCCGAGTATAGTTTAATAATTGTTGAGTTTGATTAGATTTAAAAAATTTAAAATAGAGTTCGATTAGACTCTCGAGCTTAAAATTTTTAAGTTTGACTTGAACTCAAAATCCTAAACTGAAGCTCATGAGCAGCTCAAAAATACTCGAAATAAAAAAATTCTTAAACTTATATCGATTGAAGCCTCAAACTCGAACTCGAACATAAACCTTAAATATAAAAATCTTACTATATTTTTTAAAAAAATACATAAATATTAATATTATTAATAATTTATTTTTTTAAATAAAATCTTAATATATTATATTTTCAAACTCTTCACGAGTTTTTCAAATCGAATATCAAATAACTCGTTTCGACTCGTTAAGAACTCGAATCAAGTTCATTCGATCCAAATATTAATCTAACCTTCAATCGATATCGAGTAGCTTACCATCTCTCATTTATATCCTAGACTGATACTCTGACCAAAAGAAATGCAGAACCGTACCAACCCCAAAGATATGAGCAATGGAAAAGAAAATTAAAAAATGGGGTCTTTCTTTATGGATAAAGTACATTAAAATCACTGAATTATTTAATTTTTAATTACTAATTTGTTATAAAATAATTTTAAAATGAATAAATCATTATAAATTGATCATTGAGTTTATTAAAATTTTGTATTTACTTAATATTGTGTGATTATTTTATAATACTTTAATAAATTTAATAATTTTTTTATAATTTTTAAAATTTAATGATTAAAAATATCGTTTGAGTGTAGATCAATTATTTTATAATTATTTTTTTTATTCTTCTGTTCGTTTTGTCATAAACTCAATAATTTCAAGACACGGTTAATTGATGAGTTTGGTCTGTAGCTCCCGACTCAATCCACATGCCTGCTTCCCTAGCCTACACCTTACAGACATAAATGTATGATACTATTAAGGGTTATTTGCATTCCAAGTCATCAAACTATATTATATATTTTAAATTAATTCCATTTTTTAAAATATTCCAATTGAGTCCTAAATTACTAGTATTGTATCATTTATATCCTTCTCATCACTCTATCACACGGATATCTTGGTCATGATGATGCATTACAAAAAAAAACAGCCTCTTAGATCGGGTTAGATTCAAGTTATATATGCTATAAATACGCATGTTTTAGAATTTGATAAACGAATTCTAAATATAATTCAATTTAGATCTTAGTTAATGCTCAATCCATTTGATTATGTCAGAAAAATAAACTTTTAAAATTCTAGGACCGAAAACATATTATTAATGTGATGCGAAATAAAATTATAACCAAAATATCCATGTAAATTTATAAAATTATGATCACTGTATTTTTAATTTTCTTTTAATTTAATCCGTGTGATGTAAAATAAAATTATAACTAAATCAAATTGTGAAAGCTGCCATCAACTCTGAAAATATTGATGATAAACTAAAAATAAATATTTTATACTAGCGTATAATTTTAACTTAATATTTAAAAAAATTAATTTAGACTCGTGTAATTTTAATAACCTTTGAAGAATATACAATGTGATTACAATCTAAACAACAATATTATTAATTTCCTTAATCTCGCAATTTCTTTTTCAGACAATTTCTAAAATTTTATACTTTAGTGTCTATGTTCTCATTTTCTTTATATTTTAATTTCAAAATTATAAAATTAAGAGAAAAGTCATCGTCAATGGTGAACTTATCAAAATTTCTTCACCTGTCGATAACTTTAATCATTTACTTATTCTATTTCTTCAAGTAATGTGTTATGATCTTCAAAAAAAAAAATAGAAAACATTATTTCCCTAATTTTATTATAACCCTGTAAACAAACCGAACCTTTACCAAATTATTCGGTGGAAAGTTCGTTTATTTATTAAACGAACGAACATGAATGAAATCTTATGTTTATTTAATTAAATGAACGAACACGAATAAAATGCTAGTTCGTTTGTTTATGTTCATTCATTTATGTTTATTCGTTTATGTTCATTTATGTTCTCCAGACCCGTTTGAAATATAAAGACTTAATAAATTTTAACATTAAATTCATTAATATTTTTAAACTCAATTTTAAACCTAAATAAAAAAAATACTCAAATCAATTAAAGAAAATATAAATCCTAAAATTATTTGAAAAGAAAAAAAAATTCTTCTAAAATATAAACTCAATTAATTTTATATGTGTTCTTTTCTATTCGTTCATGTGTGTCCGTTTATCACTTAAACGAACGAACACGAACAAATTAAATTTCTTAATGAACGAATACGAACAATAAATTTTATTCGTTTAATTATCCGTGTTCATTCGTTTGTTTGGTTAAAATTAAACGAATGAACATAAATATACTATCATTCGTATTCGTTAGGTTAGTTTACATTTTGAGTGGAGTTGAAGTGTTTGAGAAACACAATTGCCACTGTCGGTGACATGAATGTAATGTTTTCCCCGTATGTGTCATCCGAGACTTGCCAATCTTGTTCATATTTCAACAGTCCCCCTACACCTACACTGCTTGCTGGACCCAAAGTGAACCAAAAGGTGACGTAAATGTCGTTATATTATCCCGTAATTAAAGATAATAATCCTCCACGTAGGTATAAGAGGTTGGAAATGAGACATGCATAATACTTAGGGATAGGCATAGAACCTGAACTTGACAGGTTCGACTCAATCCAATTGGATTGAGTTTTTTATTAAAATAATTAGGTTGGGTCGGATCAGGATTTTTTAAAGGTAATATTCTGGTCGGGTTAAGTTATGGTTTAGGGTAAAAACCCCGACCAGATCCGACTCAACCTGACTCAAAAAATATTAATTACCTTAAATATTTAGAGATAATTATAATAATACCCCTCTATATATTATTTTTAATTAATTCCTATTTTTTGAATAAAAAAATATTTTTATTATTTCGAGTCGGATCGAGTCGGATTCGGATTTTATCTCAAACTCAAGTCGAGTTTCGGGCCAGTGTATATTTTTGGGTCAGGTCGGGTTAACCGAAAATCCGATCCAACCCGACCTATGCCCCTCCCTAATAAACTTCCTCTATATAATTTTTCATTGTAATCTTATCTTCTTTAAAAAAATAGTTGAATATTTTTCCTCAAATATGTAATATTATTATATTTTAAAATATAATTCAAATCTAAATTTGATTAAATGAAAATAATTTATTTTAGTTGATTTAAACGTTAATAATAAATAATAACTTTGTTATATAATGATTCATATATGATAAAATATTAAATTAAGTACAAGTTTTCATCTTAAAATTGTATTAAGAATTTATTAAGTAACTTTAATAATTAAATAGAGTGTTATTTTTCAATATATTTTAAGTATAAATAATTGTATCTGTAATATGTATATATTGTCAATAGATAAAAAATTCTAAACAATATTATTATAATCACTTTATGTTATTAAAAAAAATCATATCAACCTTTGAATCTAGATATTTTCTCAAACTTGAATTAGATCAAACGATAAATAAAAATATTATATTTGAGTAGACTGCAAATCTTACTCATTACCATTCATACTTAATACTTATATGATTATTTTTAGACATAATAACAAAATTACTCCCGACGTTTGTACAAATAATACTTTGTTATCAATTTTGGGAGCATTTTGTCTCAATCTTTCTATTTTTGGTAAAAATAAATCAAGTTGGATGAAAATAATTAATTGATTAACGATCAACATGTATTAACGTGTCATTTTCACATATGTCCAATTGATAAAGTGACATATCAGGTCACCCAAAGTAATGACTAAGGATGTGCAAAACTCGACTCGACTCGAAAAACTGATTTTTTTCTACTCGATTCGACTCAAATTAACTTGGAGTTGCAATTTCATAAAATCGACTCGAAAAAATTTCAAGTTCAAATATAGTTGTAAAATATAATTCAAATAACTCAAAAATTTTAGTAATTAGTGGATTGATTTTTAAGTTTGAGTTGAGTCAAATTTTATATGATATAAGAAATATATTTGTATTGTATATATAGTCATAGAAAACCATTTAAATTGGAATAAAAAATATTATAATAGTATAAACATTTACAATTAAATTTAAACAAAAACTCGAAAAATTGACTCGACTCAAAAAAATTCAAGTTAACTCCAAGTTAAAATAGGACTCGTCAACTCGAAAATTTTGAATCGACTCGACTCGACCAAAAGCTAACCCCTAGTAATAACGTAATATGTGTCACCCAATAGATAAAAATATGTAAAACAACGGCAATAATATGGGTTAACTGTTGATCAATCAATATTTTTATCTAACATAATTTATTTTCACGGAAAATTTAAACGTTAGAATTAAAGATAAAATATTCGAAAATAAAGTATAAAATTATTATTGTTTTATTAAGTTAAGATGTTTATAAAGTAATACATGTTATAAATATTTTCAATCCTTTGATATTGAATGTTTATAATTATTGATGCTCTAATGTAAATGATTATATAGTTTAATTCATATAAATACAAAGTGATTATCACCTACATACAAGAAAAACATAAAACTTAAAAATGTCACTCTCTTCACTTGCATGTGAACCACATGTAAATACTTTAATTTCCAATGAAATGCGTTAATCTAAGATTAAAGAGATTTAAATTATCTCCCCCCCCCCTTTTATTTTCCAAAATTCTATATTTGTCGCTCAAATATTCATTCATAAAAGGCAGCTAATTTCATGCCTTTAAATTCATTCTTAACATAATCAGTATTAAAAATCATTTCTTTGATTCATTTGGCGCCATCGACTTGGGATTTCCATTAAAAAATGATTTCGCTAAAACAAAAAAAACCCACTTTCTTCTCACTCTACAATCTCACACTCTTCTCTTCCTCTCGCTCATCACTCTTTTTTTCCACTCAACAGAGAAAAAAACTAGAAATCATGACGTCCCCAACACCATTGTC